TGACACCAAAATAGGCCTTCGAATTCATTCTGACGAGGACATTAGAGCATTCCAGGAAGATTTGAATATACTGATGCAGTGGTCGGAGAAGTGGCAGATGCAGTTTAATATAGACAAATGCAAAGTTCTAAATGTTGGACAGGACAATAACCATGCCACATATAAACTAAATAATGTAGATCTTAATATTACGGATTGCGAAAAAGATTTAGGAGTTCTGGTTAGCAGTAATCTGAAACCAAGACAACAGTGCATAAGTGTTCGCAATAAAGCTAATAGAATCCTTGGCTTCATATCAAGAAGCATAAATAATAGGAGTCCTCAGGTTGTTCTTCAACTCTATACATCCTTGGTTAGGCCTCATTTAGATTATGCTGCACAGTTTTGGTCACCGTATTACAGAATGGATATAAATGCTCTGGAAAATGTATAAAGGAGGATGACAAAGTTGATCCCATGTATCAGAAACCTTCCCTATGAGGATAAACTAAGGGCCCTGAATCTGCACTCTCTAGAAAGACGTAGAATTAGGGGGGATATGAATGGAAGACAGGAATAAATAAAGGGGATGTAAATAGTGTGTTCAAAATATCTAGCCTAGACAGGACTCGCAGCAATGGTTTTAAGTTAGAAAAATTCAGATTCAGGAAGGATATAGGAAAGTACTGGTTTGGTAATAGAGTTGTGGATGAGTGGAACAAACTCCCAAGTACAGTGATAGAGGCCAGAACGTTGTGTAGCTTTAAAAATAGGTTGGATAAATACATGAGTGGGTGTGGGTGGGTGTGAGTTGGACCTGATTAGCTTGTGCTACCAGGTCGGTTGCCGTGTTCCTCCCTTAAGTCAATGTGACCTGGCCTGACTAGGTTGGGTGCATTGGCTTAAGCCGGTAGGAGACTTGGACCTGCCTCGCATGGGCCAGTAGGCCTGCTGCAGTGTTCCTTCGTTCTTATGTTCTTATGATCACCTACCCGGCAATGTAACTACAGGTCCTCGGGAATATTTGATGCAATTAGGGTACCAATTGCATCTCGTTTAGAAAAATACATTTTTTCTTTTTAACATCACAAAGTATATGTATACACGATTTATAGACACATACACAAAGGCACTTGTCCATCGACAAGTGCCTTTGTCGTCTAGTGAGCTACAACACGAACTTCGAATCAACTCTTGCAACCACAAATAGGTGAGTAGGAGTACACACACACACTTGTGCACGCGTACACATTGCAGTGATGTACAACCCGCCACAGAACTGCAAGAGGCCAAGAGAAGAATATGACGAGAGCAACAGAGCAATGGTGGACACACTAGCTGAGGTGGCCAGAAGCACTCATACGGGAAGAACAAATTTATTAGTTATGGGTAATTTCAATCACAAGGAGATTGACTGGGAAAACCTGATGCCCCACAGGGGTCCCAAAACATGGAAAGCCAAGATGATGAATGTGGTACTGGAAAACCTCATACACCAACATGTTAATGGCACTACCAGAGAGAGAGGTGAGGATGATCCAGCAAGACTAGACCTTATATTCACCCTAAGTAGCTCGGACATCGAGGACATCACGTATGAAAGGCCCCTCAGAGCTAGTGATCCTGCGGTTCTTAGCTTTGAATACATAGTAGAGTTACAAGAGGAGAGGGTAGCAGGAGTTGGATGGGAAAAGCCAGACTACAAAATGGGGGACTACACAGGCATGAGGAAATTCCTGCAGGAGGTTCAGTGGGAAAGAGAATTGGCTGGAAAATCAGTAAACGAAATGATGGACTACGTGAGATCAAAATGCAAGGAGGAAGAGGAGAGGTTTGTTCCCAAGGGAACAGAGATAATGGGAAGACCAGAACGAGCCCTTGGTTTACCCAAAGGTGTAGGGAGGCAAAAACTAAGTGCACTAGAGAATGGAAAATGTACAGGAGACCAAGGACCCAGGAAAATAAAGAGATTAGTCAGAGCCAGAAACGAGTATGCACAGATAAGGAGGGAGGCCCAGCAACAGTACGAAAATGATGCAGCATCCAAAGTCAAGTCTGATCTCAATCTGTTGTATAGCCACATCAAGGAAGAGGTAACAGTTAACGAGCGAGTAGTCAGGCTGAGGAAGGAAGGTGGGGAGCTCGCAATGAATGACAAACAAGTATTTGAGGAGCTCAACATGAGATATAAGGAAGTATTTACAGTCAAGACAGAAAAGACTCTGGAAAGTCAGAATAGGGGGGTGCACCAACAAGGGATATAATAACAATTGCTGGATGAAATACACACAACTGAGGTGGAGGTGAAGCTGCAAAACTACAGACCAGTGTTACTGACGTGTATAGTATGCAAAGTCATGGAGAAGATCATCAGGAGGAGAGTGGTGGAGCGCCAAGAATAGAACAAGCTTGCAAACGACAACCAGCATGGATTCAGGGAAGGAAAATCCTGTGTCACAAACCTACTGGAGTTTTATGACAATTTAATGGAAGTAAGACATGAGAGAGAGGGCTGGGTAGATTGCATTTTCTTGGACTGCAAGAAGGCCTTCGACACAGTTCCTCACAAGAGATTACTGCAAAAGCTAGAGGATCAGGCACACATAACAGGTAGAGCACTGCAGTGGATCAGAGAATACATGAAAGGAAGGCAACAACGAGTCATGGTACTTGATAAGGTGTCAGAGTGGGGGCCTGTGAAGAACGGGGTTCCACAGGGGTCAGTCCTAAGACCAGTGTTATTTTTGGAATATGTGAATGACATGACGGAAGGGATAGACTCATAAGTGTCCCTGTTCGCAGATGATGTGAGGTCAATGAGGAGAATTAAATCAGTCGAGGCTCAGGCAAACGCGACGATGTGTCGAAGTTGGCATTTGTGACTAGTAGGGTTCCACAGGGGTCAGCCCTTGGGCTGGTGCTGTTTCTCGTAAATGTGAATGACATGAAGGAAGGAATAAATTCTGATGTGTCTTTGTTTACAGACGATATCATGTTAATGAGGAGAACTCAATCGCAGGAGGACCAGGCAGGACTACAAAGGGATCTGGACAGGCTACAGGCCTTTTCCAGCAAATGGCTCCTGGAATTCAACCTCGCCTAGTGCATGAATATCGGAGAAGGGCAAAGAAGATCGCAGACAGAATACAGTCTAGGGGGCCAAAGACTACAAACTTCACTCAAGGAAAAAGATCTTGGGGTGAGTATAACACCAAACATATCTCCTGAGTTGCACATCAACCAAGTAACTGCTGCGGCATACGGACGACTAGCAAATCTAAGAATAGCATTCCGATATCTCAGTAAGGAGTTGTTCAGTACTCTGTACACTGTATACATCAAGCCCATATTGAAATATGCAGCACCAGTTTGGAACCCACATCTGGTCAAGCACATCACGAAATTCGATAAAGTGCAAAGGTTTGCAACGAAAATTGTCCCGGAGTTAAGGGGCATGTCCTACGAGGAGAGGCTAAGGGAACTCGACATGACGACACTGGAGAACAGGAGGGACAGGAACATGATAACAACATGTACAATACTGAGAGGAATCAACAATGAGAATAGGGAAAAGATGTTTCAGAGATGGGACTCTCCAACAAGGGGTCACAATTGAAAGTTGAAGACTCAGATGAGTCATCACAGGCGCCCACTCTGACACCTCGTCACATACCATGACTCGCTGTTGTCTACCTGACAGGTATTCTTGATCCATTGTACTGCCGTCCCTGTTAATTAACCCTGCCTGGTCCTCTAGCTTATGCATTAATCTTTTGCATGGAACTGTGTCAAACGATTTCTTTCAGTATAAGAAAATACAATCTAGCACCCCTCTCTCTCTCTTGTCTTACTGTTGTGGTCAGGTCAGTGGTCATATGTGGTCATACCTGTCCTAAGCTCTCTGGGAGTTAGCGTGGGGTGTTACCAAGCACCATGGCTTGTTGTAGTGTTTTGGAATCTCAGGTTCAGGTGTTGAAGAAGGAGGTTCTAATTCTTCAGGAGGAAAATAGGAAGCTGAAGCTTCGCCTAGATGAGTTTGGGAGCGAGTATGAGAAGGATTTAGCTAGAAAAGAGGAAATGGTCAACAGTAGTGAGAGTGGCAGCCGCTTTAAGTGGCAAGTGGTTCACAGTTCAGGTAGAAGGAACATAAGGAGGGTTAACAGAGAATATGTGAAGGTAGGAAATCGATTCTCTGTTCTCCAATACGAATGCACTTCAGTGGTTAATGAGGTTGCAGGTACCACTAATTCCCCTGGTAATCAATGTAAGAATGTTTTAATTGTAGGAGATTCTCAGGTATGGTATATGGACCGTGCTTTTTGTAACAGATAAAAAGGTCAGACAGAGGGTGTGTCTTCCAGGAGCTGGTGTTGGTGACATAGTCAGCAGGTTGGATAATAGTATGTCAGGTAATGGGAACAAACCCATTATCTGTTTTAGTGCTGGGGGTAATGACACTGGGAAAGGGCAGGAGACAGGAACTGCTGAACAAGTACAGGTCAGCCATAGAAGTAGTCAGGTCTAAGGGAGGGATCCCAGTCATACGTAGCATCTTGCCCAGAAAGGGAATGGGCAATGAATGGATGTCTAGGGCAATTGGTATGAATTGCTGGCTAGACAGGTACTGCAAGGAACTTGCAATCTCATTCATTGATAACTGGGACATATTCTATGGCAAACGTGATATGTATGCAAGGGATGGGGTTCATCTGTCTGGGGCTGAAGTGGTTGCATTAGCCAATTCGATTGAGGGGGTAATTGATGACTTGTCTAGGACTTTAAACTGATAGATTATAGAGATATGGGTGTTTGTGGGAAACTATCAGGCTGCAGTATTAGGGTTGAAAACAGCAGTATATTACCGGGATACCTCAGGGATATGTTTAAAAAACAATATTCAAAATAAAGTTGCTAGTAAAAGCAAATCACTTGATCAACAAACAAAGAGAGATAGTAGAGGGCAATGAGTGACTAGCTCCCTTAAGGTTTACTTAAAAATAGTAGGAGTTAAAATAAGAAAGATGAGCAAAGATAATTTGCAAGTGCAGGTAATTAGATATTATTGGTATAAAGAGCCCGGTTCACCCTGAAAGATAGAAAAATGCCTTCTAAAATGCAAACACAGGGTTATAAACTATTCCACCTGACAGGGTCAACAGGAAGGATGGTGGAGGGGGCAATGTATTCAGAGAAAATTTTAAAATTTGTTGTCTTGACTGATATAAGATTAGAAAATCGAACACAGAATCTTTTTTGGATACAGTTTCTCGGGGGTCAGAAAAATTTAAATTTTTGGGGGTGTGTTTTTTTCTCCCTCAAACCTTGACAGGGAGTGCGTAAGCTGTTAGGGGGACAAAAATTCAAAGGCTTCTAGAATGAAAATGTTTTTTTTAAATGGGAGTTTTTAAATTTTAGACAAACTGTTTGGGAAAACAAATATGACGGGAACCCTTGAGTCTAGTGACTTTCTTGATGAGGTTCAGGATTGCTTTTTAGAACAGTTTGTGACAGAACCAACTAGAGGAAACAATCTGCTTGACTTGGTTCTTGCCAACAAAGAATCACTAATTATTAATCTTGAGATTAATGGAGCTTGGGGAAAGTGATCACAAATCACTTAGTTTCGATATATCATGGAATTACCCAGATAACTGCAATCAAATCTCTGTCCCAGACTTTCGCTTGGCCGATTTCATGGGACTGAAAAATTACCTGGGCTAAATTGGGCAGGACCGAGTATACTCGGTCCTCAAAACGTGGTATTTTGCGCACGTCCTCCGACTCCCCCAGCGCATCTAGGTTCCCGTTCTCTATTTCTGACCAATCACAGACCTTCCCTGAGTCGCCCCGGCTGAGCGGTGATGGCGGCTGCCCGCTTCCCATTGGTCGAGACAGCAGAATGTAAACACTTGTACCTTACCGGCGCCAAAACTCGTGTTTCTCGGTTGAGTGCTCCTTATATACTGAAGCATTTCACCCAATACAATGTCGGTAAGTACTGATTTGTGTGTCTAGTGTGTAAATGAATAGTTTAGCCATATTTTGATATATATGTGAAGGTGTTGTGAAGCATATTACGAGTGCACCATGCAAATGAAAAAAGTGCAACAAAATAGGACCAAGTACAGTCGTTCCTGCCCTTTTAGGTGCAGTTTTCAAGTTTCGGTATATAAATATTTCCATAAAATTTGGTAGTGTATATATGAATTCAGCAATGGTCTGGGTGTGTACAGAATGTTTTTATTGTCCTTCCAGATCAATAAGAAATTGTTCTACGGTGAGTCCTCCAAGGATAAGTCGAAATTTGTCTGTGTTTGGGACGATAGTGCCTCAGATCAAGACCCAGATGACCTGGAAGTGGTGGAAACTGATGACGAATACTTGCCACAAGATGCAGAGGGGTCAACAGATGAGGAGGAAGCTATGCCACCATCTAAAAAGAAGAAATTGAGCTACTTGCTTACATGGAAGTATTGCAGCAAAAAGAATAATCATGTCACATCCTCATTTTCCTGTGCCATATGTAAAGTAAATCTGTGCATAAAGAAGGATAGAAATTGTTTCATAAAGTTTCATTTGCGAAATTAGTGATGTGAAATGATTGTTCTTTCTCAGGGAACTCACTAATATTTCATTTGTAAGTTGCATCCAATTGCAATGTGTCATTGTTGATAAGTAGTTCCTATTTCTATTTTTTTACTGCTTACAAATTGTTCAGAAACAAGTTCCATTTATGTTTTTTATATTGTCTACTTGTATAATAAATTTAAAAAATATTTATTTCGTTTTTTTTACAACAATTGCAACATTGCAACATTCAAAAATGGTATGCCCCAAATGGGCAGGACCGAATATACTCGGTCTTCGAATATCTGCAATTGTGCAAGATGTTACTTTCACAACTCCGTTTGGATGGTCTCAGTGACCTTACATCGAGTGGCTCTATCCCCTCATAGGAAATCACTTTCAAATTCACACTTTAGACTGCCTTGCCCCCCAAATAACTGTTCGAATGTACACTATTATCACATCAAGATAAAGTTAAACTCTCAGTGTTCTCATCAATGTTTTTGAGAGCTTTATGTATTTGTAGTCCAGAGTTCATAGATGAAGAAATCTCGAATATTTGTGAGATAGATAAGGATCTAAAATACCCAAAAAACTTTACTTATAAATCTTTTAAAATTGCTGGAAATACTCTCTACAGTTCAAAAAGACACAACGAACCTTATTCAACTAAAAATATATTGGTTCTCCCTTACCATGAAAACTTGGTTGATATGACTTCTCTTCTTAAGAATTTTAATTTCAAAGTTGCATTTAAAAATACTGATAGAGTTAACTCTATCAGTATTTAAATTTAAAATCATGGTTCCCTTTAATACTTAAAACATCTAGAAAAGGCAATGAGTTATCTTGTTCACACAAAGACGAAAGGAGGAAAGAGAGGTGAAGATGGAGATGGACAGAACCCAGACTCAGGAGGAAGATCAAATACAACCTCCCTCACAACCACCTACAGAAGCCCCACAACCAGAACAACCCCAGTGCAACCAAACATTCTAACCCAAAACACACATGCCATATCCAATGCGCCCACCCACCTCATCACAAACTCCACCCCCACAGCATCCACCCATAGTTCCTTATCAGGTCTCCCACTTCCCTAACCCCAATGTATACCCCAGACCACAGTTTTAGAAAAGAAGTTGTAGGTGTGGTATACAAATGCAGACGGAATAACAAATAAGTGAGAGTGGCATGAATGAATCAAGGAGACATCAAGAGACATAATAACACTCACAGAAACAAAACTCACCAAGACGATAACAAATGCAATCTTTCCACCCGGATATGAAATCCTCAGGAAAGATAGAGGGAGGAGAAGGGGAGGAGGAGTTGCACTGCTCATTAAAACCCGATGGGGACTTTAGGAAATGGAAGGAATGGACGGTATGGGCGAAAGGGACTACTTAGGAGAAACAATCCAGTCTGAGGGCCGTAAGGTGGTAATTACAGTAATGCACAACCTGCCACAGAACTGCAGGAGGCCAAGAGAAGAATACAACGAGAGCAAGAGAGCAATCGTCGACACACTAACCGAGGTTGCCAGAAGAGCTCACATGGAGGGAGCAGAGTTACTAGCTATGGGTGATTTAAATCACAAGGAGATTGACTGGGAAATCCTGGAACCCCATGGAGGTCCCGAAACATGTGGTACTGGAAAACTTCATCCATCAACATGTAAGAGACACTACCAGAGAGAGAGGTGAAGATGATCCAGCAAGACTGGACCTTGTATTCACCTAGAGTAGCTCAGACATCGAGGATATTATTTATGAAACGCCCCTTGGAGCTAGTGATCATGTGGTTCTGTGCCTTGACTACATAGTTGAGCTACAAGTGGAGAGAGTAACAGGAATAGGATGGAAAAAAAACTACAAAAGGGGGGACAATACAGGCATGAGGAACTTCTTGTAAGACGTTCGGTGGGAGAGAGAACTGACAGGAAAACCAGTAAAAGAAATGATGGATTATGTGACAACAAAATGCAAGGAGGCAGAGGAGAGGAGAGTTCCCAAGGGAAGCAGAAATAATGGGAAGACCAGAACGAGTCCTTTGTTCACCCAAAGGTGTAGGGAGGCAAAAACTAGAGAGTGGAAAAGATACAGAAGACAAAGGACCCAGAAAAATTTAGAGATCAGCCGAAGAGCCAGAAACGAATATGCACAGATAAGAAGAGAGGCTCAGCTACAATACAAAAATGACATAGCATCAAAAGTCAAGTCTGACACGAAGCTGTTGTTTAGCCACATCAGGAGGAAAACAACATTCAAGGACCAGGCAATCAGACTGAGGAATTATGATGGGGAGTGCACAAGAAACGACCAAGAGGTATGTGAGGAGTTCAACAGGTGGAAACTGCTAAGACTAAAGGAAATCAGAACAGGGAGGTTCACAAAGAAGTGCTGGATGAGGCAAACATAACCGAGGAGGTGAAGAAGCTGCTATGTGAACTTGATACTTCAAAGGCAGTGGGACCAGACAACATCTCTCTGTAGGTCCTTAGAGAGGGAGTAGAGATTCAGTGTGTACCACTAACAAAGATCTTCAACATATCCATTGAAACTGGGCAACTACCTAAGGTATGGAAGATGGCAAATATAGTATTAATTTTTAAAAAAGGAGACTGACACGAGGCATTAAACTTCAGACCAGTGTCACAAACTTGTATAGTATGTAAAGTCATGGAGAAGATCATCAGGAGGAGAGTGGTGGAGCACCTGGAAAGAAACAAGCATATAATCGACAACCAGCATGGTTTCAAGGAAGGAAAACCCTGTGTCACAAAGCTACTGGAGTTTTATGACAAGGAGACAGAAGTAAGACAAGAGAGAGAGGGGGTGGATAAACTGCATTTTGTTGGACTGCAAGAGGGCCTTCGACACAGTTCCTCACAAGGGGTTAATGGAAAAACTAGAGGATCAAGCAAACATAACAGGAAAGGCACTGCAATGGATTAGAGAATACCTGACAGGGAGGCAACAACGAGTCATGGTACGTGATGAGGTGTCAGAATGGGCGTCTGTGACAAGTGGGGTTCCACAGGGGTCAGTCCTAGGACCTGTGCTGTTATTGGTATATGTGAATGACATGATGGAAGGGATAGACTCAGAAGTGTCCTTGTTTGTATGTGATATGAAGTTAATGAGGAGAATCAAATCGGTCAATGATCAGGCAGGCCTACAAAGAGACCTGGACAGGCTACAAGCCTGGTCCAACAACTGGCTCCTTGAATTTAACCCTGCCAAATGCAAAGTCATGAAGATCGGGGAAGGGTAAAGAAGCCCACAGACACAGTATAGTCTAGGTGGCCAAAGACTGCAAACCTCACTCAAGGAAAAAGATCTTGGGGTGAGTATAGTACCGAGCACATCTCCTGAGGCACACATCAATCAGATAACTGCTGCACCATACGGGCGTCTGGCAAACCTACGGACAGCGTTCCGATACCTCAGTAAGGAATCGTTCAAGACTCTGTAAACCA